TGATCAGGCAATAGCCGATCTTTTTGCTCAGTTTTTGAAACCACTTACTCCAACTTAATAGACCCAGATCAGGCTTATCCTTACATCATCACCAAATCGAACCAAATCTTCAGTCCTACCTTAAACGAAAACTCTCTTCTTATAGATCTTCATCGTGTTAAGCCAGTTTTTTTTACCATGTCCCGACGGAATACCAGGCTGTGTGCTTAGGAATTGTGCCGAAGCCCTGTGCAATCCCCTTCTCAAATTGTTTACCTTATCCTTAGAAACCCCCCACTTTCCCCTTATTTGGAAGGAATCATTCGTTATTCCTCTCCACAAAAAGGTAGCAAATTGGAGGCCAATCCTAAACAGTTCGAAAATGTTATTACTCCTCATCTGCCTCCTCACCTGTGTAGGTCACTTATTTCTCCATGACAACATGGTTTTATTAGGCGAAGATCAATTACAACCAATCTTTTGGAGCTCACTTCCTTTATTAAAAAGGGCTACCAACACCGGATCTAGAGGAAGAGCAATTGGACCACATAGTCAAAGCACTATTTCCCGCTCATACAAATAGCAGAGCAAGGACTACTCCACCAATAGCCGAACACCAGATCGAGCTCTTAACTGAGGACGAGCTACTGAAAGCAACAAAAACCTTAAAAAGGAAGAAGGCCCCAGGGCCCGACAACATTCCAGCAGAAGTTTTAATAGCGATCGCGGAGAGCCGACCAAATATCCTATTGGATATGTATAACGAGTGCATTACCAGCGGGAAATTCCCAGACATTTGGAAGGTGCAACGGTTGGTCCTGATAAGCCAGGGCAAGGGAGACCCCCTAACCCCGTCAGCTTATCGGCCATTATGCATGCTTAACACAACTGGGAAGCTACTAGAGAAATTGGTCAAGCCACGACTAGCAGCAGCGGTCGAAAGAGGAGGGGGTCTTTCCAGGAAGATCGACCATTGGAGCAATCCAAGAAGTCGTGAACCAAGGTCTCAGCAGCCAACAGGGCAACAACTTCTCGAGACCGGTAGTGCTCCTGGCCACTCTGGACGTTAAAAACGCCTTCAACAGCGTTAGATGGGACAACATAATTGATGCTCTGAAAAGACGATTCCAAATCCCAGGATACCTGATGCGGATAATAAAGGACTATCTTGACAACCGACGACTACTGTATCAAACAAAAGCAGGGGAGAAATGCATGCAGATAACTTCAGGAGCCGCACAAGGATCAATACTTGGACCAGAGCGATGTAACATCAGCTATGCCGAAATTTTTTACCTAGACATCCCAGAGGACACGACTATCGTGGGATACGCAGACGACATAGTCGCAGTCATTACAGCTCGGAATACCGAGTATGCACAGCGCAAGCTGACGCAAGTAATGATACGTGTAAAAGGATGGCTGAACTCACACGATCTAAAACTTGCGGACGAAAAAACGGAGCTATTGTTAGCTACCAGGAGAAGGATCCCCCTAGAAATAGATAATAGAGTAGGGGAAAACGTTATAAGGACGCAGAAGGTCATAAAGTACCTAGGAGTAAAACTTGATTCAAAACTAACTGTTAGGTATTTGCATAACGACTAATTTGAATTTTAAGATCAATCTGGCAACGCTAGTAATACGTTACACAATACTTAAGAACTCGTTATACAACACTGGAGAATAAGAGACAAAATTAATGAAGAAGTAACTGTAATATGGAATAACCACAATCGGAATAAAAACCTCGTGTGAAGACATCACACTAACATTTAGTGCACACATCCAAGTGGCGAAGAAAAGAGCGACTGAGACTACAAAACCGCTTATCAGACTCGTGGCCAACGTGGCGGCCCATTACCATCAAGACGAAAGCTTCTAATGGAGATAAACCACGCAATCATCTGGGCAGGAACCCTTGAGACACCTTGCAGGACAAAACCTCTACAGGACGTGCAAAGAACGATGGCTTTACGAATCGCGAGCACGTATCGAACGGTATCCGGCCCGGCTGCACTAGTAGTTGCAGGCACGATACCAATCGACCTTTTAGCCAAAGCGCGAAAAAGGATATACGAAAGACGACAAGATGGAGACACGACGAGGGCACTAATCGAGCGGACCAGAGTGGAAACCCTCCGACAATGGCAGAAAAGATGGACAGCAGAAGGGAGAGGCAGACGGACAGCTAGGCTGCTACCAAACCTGGTAGCATGGTCTGCAAGGAAACACGGAGACATGGATTACTACGTCACGCAGATGCTGACAGGCCATGGCTACTTTGCCGCCTTTCTACACAAGATAGGGAAAAGAACAGATGCCAGATGCATATACGGAGATGCGGAGATCGACAGTGCTGAACACACCATCATTCAATGCGCAAAATTCGGACCGGCGCGCAGGTCCTTGGAAGAAGTGGTTGGGACAATAACCCCTGAAAATATTGTAACAAAAAAGATTCGTGGAAAACATCCTTCGAGCAAAGAAGCCTGATCTGGATGAGACAGCTGGGTAATCTGGACGCAGTAAGAAGATGAGAGCGTATAGCGCTTAACTGGCGCCACCTCGAAGTAATGCGAAAGCTTTTCCGAGGTGAAAACACAGCCAACGAAGACTGGTGGGGGGGGTTTAGTGGGTGCAAGCCCCACATACTCTTTTTTGCGACGGCAAATGGGAAGATGCGTGAGGCATTCCCCCCTCCTCAACACAAAAAAAAAAAAAAAAAAAAAAAAAGGGCTACCGAAATAACTGTGAGATGGGTATTTACCCTCTTATGTTACATTCTAATATAATAGTTTTCGGATATTATATATGTTTCTAAAATTTGCAAGTTTTTTCCTATTATCTCCTTTTTCCGTTTTCTCAACTTCCATTACTTTTTCCGCTTTTGTATCTCACTACAATTCTAAAAATTGAATGAATCTTTTTCTCCGCGCTCCTACTTTCCTTCTGTCACCCTCAGGCTCTCCGCCTACTCCGAGCACTTCCCTTTTTACATTCGGCCATTTCTGACTACTCATCTGTCCCAGATGACCAATCATCCTCGTTGTCCTGCATATATCGCCACAGCTTCATGTAGTCACAACTGGTTGAAGTGTTAATTGGTCCTTCGAAATCTGCTGCCTTCCGAACTTCGTACCTGCCATTCCCCTTAACTTTTGCAACCTCGTACGGTCCCATGTACTCTCCAGTCCGGCGTATAGCGACTGTTCAGTTTTGCTGCGTGTCCCACTGTGCGGGAGAGTGACGGTCAGCCGATCGCTCGCTCGTCTCCGGACAGTGCATACGATGCGGGAAGAAGAGAATGGAAGAGAGGGGAAAAATTAGTCTGATTTTGCAAACGCCGCTGAACGCACGCCGCCAGTCTAACGTCTATTGCGAATACACACCCATCTGTACATACATATATATCTATTTTAAAGTAAATCTGTGAATAATAATAATTATAACGTCGGAAATTATCCCGACCTGTGTTTTCTCTTGCCTGGGAACCCCTCCTACAATGACCTCTTGTTAGTTGCATACATACAAGGGGACACAACTATACATGGTGGCCCATGAGGGGAACCTTGCAATTGCGAAAAATTAAATTCGATTTTACTGGGTGTAAATAGATTCCGTTAGATCGCGCGGCAGCGTTAAGTTTGCAAGTCGGGTCGGCGAACTGCCTGAAAAGAGACGGCGACACATAGGCGCATCAACGGCAGGTCAAGGAACGGAGGCGCTCTCTTCTTTTGTTTCTTTTGGTGGCTTCGGATCGGAATCTTGTGTGCAAAACGGAGTAAGTGACAAATTGTGTGCGAGACAAGAATTTACCGATATTTTCGTTACATGTTTATTTGGGGTGGTGAGTTGCGCTAAGGTTTTGGTTTTACACTCGTCAGCATGGAAGCTGTTTCGGATGCTCTGACTTTCGAGCAATTAGCTAACTTACAGACAAATCGGTACCAATCCCTTAAATCGACGTTGGTGAATTTTAAAAAGGATTCACAAAAGAGAAAAACGAGAATTTATTAAAAGGAGCGGCTGCAACAAGTGGAACAGCTAAGGACCGCGTTCCAGGAGACTGATGACGTGATCGTGAATCTAGAAGGGTTTGCGGAATCAAGCTATGCCGTGAAAAATTTCCAATCGGAGTTCGAGGAGCGTTATATGAACGCCTATTGCGCCATCGCAGAGGAGTTGGATAAACTTGGATTCGAGACTCCTACGCTGCAGCCACTGCCAAGTGGAGCCGCTGATCCGGAGGTGCGACTGAACATGCCACAGATGTCAGTTCCCAAGTTTTCCGGTGCGTGTGTGGACTGGCCAGGCTACTATGACGCCTTCACGAGCCTCATACATAACAACAATAATTTGAGTACTGTACAGCGGTTACATTTTCTCAAGGAATCGTTGCCGGTAGGGCGTGAAAATGACATCCGCCAAATGCAGCTCACGGAGACAAACTACGCCGTGGCATGGGGAATGATGATTAAAATGTACAACAATCCTCGTCTAGTTTTTTCCCACCACATGAACGAGATATACGCGTTGCCCAGGCTGCAAAAGGATAATACGGATTCCATACGGTCGATGCTGAGCACGGTCAATGTCTGCCTGGCTGCGTTCCGCCGCGTCCAAGCCTTGGACGGGGAAAGGCAGCACTGGTTGGCGCATTACATAGCATCGAAGATGCCCAAGGAGACCCACAACGCTTGGGAGCATCACCAAGGGAGCGGTGCCACCGTTCCAACTTATAAGGATTTAGAATCATTTTTGAATGATCGGCTGGTCATAATGGATGCGATCGAGAACCGAAGCTCGTCGTACAACTGGCCCAGGATCTGCCGACCCAGGCAAGCGAGTGCGAGTGCATAGTGCACAGGAGCACTCAAGGCGCCCGAATAGCTCCTGTTATCACTGTAGCGGTGACCATATCCTGCGTCGTTGTGCCGCCTTTCTGGCCTTGGACTGCTATAAGAGGAAGGACATAGTAAGCAGGGCGAAATTATGTATTAATTTCCTGAGTAAAGCACATGCGCTTTCCCGCTGCACCAGCAATAAGAGCTGCCAAATTTGTGGTCAGCGCCATCATACGCTGTTGCATTTCCCAGCGTTGGCTCAGGACCGATCGTCAAGCCACACACCGCTGCATCCGATTCGGTCTGCCACGACGCACCCTGATGCATCCGCAGCTGGGGAGAACGTACCTTAGCAGGGCCTACAGTCATCGTCGGGCCAGAATCCGGACGCATCTTACAGATCCTATTCAGCAACTTCGGCGAATGGGGCCTCCCGAAATGTGCTCCTTGCCACTGCTCGTATTGCCGTACGAAACCCGGTCAACGGGCTACAAGCAGTCATAAATGCTCTCACCGATCAAGGATCTGAGGCAACCATAGTTTTGGAACACGTCGTACAGTCCCTGCATCTGAGACGGTGCAACACCTGGGCATCGATTTTTGGGGTGGGCCCAGGGGGCGGTCGTCGTTGCAAGTATACAGTTAATTTCGAAATCAATATTATTAATCCAAAATTTTCTCTAGAGGTTGATTCAGCATATGCTATCAATTCATTTACTTCCTGTCTGCCTAGCCTTAGCTTCATACCGCAGCGTTTGAATCATATTCGAGGGCTCCCCCTGGCAGATCCCAACTACGCCCGGTCGAAGAGAATCGATCTCATCTTAGGAGTGGACATGTTGGCGCAAATCATGCTGCCAGACACCAGGATCGGATTACCCGGCGAGCCTATAGCGCAGAATACACGCTTCGGATGGACCCTTTCGGAACGTGCGGAAGGAGTAAGAGAAGCAACACAATTGCGCTGTCATCGAGTGCAGCTGGATACGGAGGCATTGCTGAAGCGTTTTTGTGAGGTCGAGTCAGTTCCGGATCGCCCTATAGCGACGGAAGGGGACCTCTGGTGCGAGTCGTTTTTTCAGAAGACCCACGTGCGTCGACCGGATGGCCGCTACGTGGTCAGGTTGCCTTTTAAAACCTATCTCGATCCGACCATGGTCTTAGGAAAATCCCATCAGATGGCGCTTAATCGGTTTCTACAGATGGAAAGGCGTCTGTCTAACAATCCAGACCGTTGGAGCAAATATGTGGATGAGATTGAGGAATACTTCGCGCTCGAGCAAATAGCGCCGGCTATGGACAGTGAAAGCAGCACAGTAAGGAGTACGGCCGCGAACAGGCATGTAGCCTCTTGTGTACTTCCGCATCACGCTGTCTTTAAAAAAGAAATTCTGTCAACCAAACAGCGAATCGTCTTCGATGCCTCCTCAAGGACTAGCAATGGAATATCCTTAAACGACATTTTGTGGACTGGGCCTACTCTTCAAAACGACATGTCTGCAGTCATTCTCAACTGGCGGAAATATCGATTTGTTTTTACGGCGGATATACAGAAAATGTATCGCTGTATCGATGTTCACCTGAAAGGCGCCAAATATCAGCGGATTTTATGGCGGGCGGCGGATGGGTCCATCACTGTGTATGCGTTGACAACGCTAACCTTTGGAACGGCTTCGGCACCCTTCATGGCGATCAGAGTCATTCAACAATTAGCGAAGGATGAGCAGTGTTCGTTTCCTAAGGCGGAAGAAGTATTGAGGGACGAGATCTATGTGGACGACATTCTTTCCGGAGGGCATACGATAGAAGATGCGGAGGATAAACGGGCCCAGGTATCGGGTGCGATAAAATCCGCTTGCATGGAGTTGCGGAAATGGTCCAGCAACGAAGAGAGCCTTTTGCAATCGATTCCGCCAGAGCATCAATGAAGTCGGACACCTCTGAACTGGGACACTGCGGATCCGATCAAGGTGTTAGGAATGTATTGGCTCCCCAATAAGGACTGCTTCAAATTTCAGGTCAATTTTGAGATACCACCTAGTTTCACCAAAAGGACGATCCTGTCGAGCATAGCGAGGCTGTTCGACCCACTAGGTTTCATCGCGCCAGTCATCATCTCGGGAAAGTTAATATTGAAGGAGGTAACCATGGCTAAGAAAACGCAGGACAACGGCGCTATGACGGCTCTGGATTGGGACGACGAGGTTCCTAAGCCTCTTGCGGAAAGGTGGCAAGCATTTCGGGACGGCTTGCTAGGGGTCGACGGCCTGAGTATACTGCGGTGGATTCATTATTCCCCAGGATCCATAGAATCAGCTCAGCTGCACGCGTTTTGTGACGGGTCTTCCACATCCTACGCAGCTACTACTTATCTAAGGCTCGACCACGGGGACGGAACGTGCTACGCCTCGCTGTTGGCCGCAAAATCAAAGGTCATCCCTACTAAACCCCTAACCATACCAAGAACGGAGCTGAGTGGCGCAGTGCTAGCCGTCAAGTTGGTGAAATGGCTTACAACGGCTAGATGGCTAAATGACCTTCCCATCCAGACCTTTTATTGTACGGATGCCACGATTCTTCTTCATTGGCTGCACGGGGACGTCAATAGATGGAAGACGTTCGTCGCCAACAGGGTCTCCTTCATTCTGGACCACTCGTCGCCATCGCAATGGAGACATGTAGGTACTAGCGAGAATCCAGCAGACTGTGCGACAAGAGGGCTTCCTCCGAGCGAGCTGAAGGACTTTGATTTGTGGTGGCGAGGCCCGGAGTGGCTTACATGCAAGCAAGGTGACTGGCCTTCGACGGAGATCGGGCAGGTCGACATAAACGATGCCGCGCTGGAGGCAAAGGCGGACAAGGTACGCGTTCACCTCGCAGTTTCGCAACCATCGTTGGTTGAGAAGTTTTCCAGTTTCAGCCAGGCGGTGAGAGTCACAGCATTTATACTTCGGTTCAAAAGCAATGCTATTAGCAAAGGAGAAAGGTATACCGGTCCCCTAAGCATTAATGAGCTCGACTATGCTTTACTCGCCATCGTACGCATCATTCAAAGGGAGTCCTTCTCGTCTGAGCTAAGATGAATTGATGAATTCTAAACGACTGCCCTCCAAAAGTAAACTTGTGACGCGCAGACGCGCACAAATATATACGTAAGATATAAAATAAGTATGATAATAGATTATACAATAGAAAACTATGAATATGGAATAGATTTGAATTGAATGCGCGCGCGCGCCATGATCAGGCGCAAAGGGTCACACTGGCCCAAATAAGGATCTGGCCACACTCTTAATGGCAAATTTCTCCGGGCGCGTCTGTCACACTCGGCCGCACCGGAGCGCTATATAAGGCGAGCTCCAGCCCTCGGGAGGCATTCAGTTTTCGGCCAGCGATCGGCCAAGTCCTCTTACAGGAGCTAAGGGTAAGGCAGCAAGGTATATTGGTAGGCAGTAACACATAGTCGGACCCCGACCATATCTTACGTCTATCACTTGTGGAAGACCTTAGGGCCTCTCTGTACGTCTCAATATTCGAAGACCTAAGGGCCTCCGTATTAGTCTATATATCTCGGTAGACCTTAGGGCCTCCGTGCACGTCTCAAATTTAGAAGACCTTAGGGCCTCTAACAACTTCTCAATCTTAGAAGACCTTAGGGCCTCTAACAACATCTCTCTTTTAGAACCCTTAGGGCCTCTACAAACTTCTCATCTTAGAAGACCTGAGGGCCTCTAACAACTTCTCAACCTTAGAAGACCTTATGGCCTCTAACCAACTTCCTGATCTTAGAAGACCTTCGGGCCTCTACCAACTTCTCATCTTAAAAGACCTGAGGGCCTCTAACAACGTCTCAAACTTGAAAGACCTTAGGGCCTTCACTAACCATAGCCTAGATTGGAAGACCTTAGGGACTCCACAAATCTGCTCGCTAACTGGAAGATCTCAGGGTCTCCGCTAACAAGTTATTCCACTAACTGGTAGACCTGAGGGCCTCCACCAGTTATTCTTACTCTAGGAGATCTGAGGGGCATCCGCGCATCGGCGTTTCACCGACACTGTCGACCCGAGCGGGAAGGATGTACCTGACCCTGAAGTGCGGCGTTCCAGAGCGACTACCCGCGGCAGCAGACTGAATCCAATCTTTTTAACAGTTGTAATGTTCGTGGCAATAAACATATAATAATAGTTACGGCATATTTCTCGGCGTTCTACTCTGGGACCGGATCGGCATCTCTTTCAGCAACCACCTCAGACAACAAATAAATTTCTGAGACGAACCCTGGCCATCCTTGAACCACCGGAATGACCAAACCGTCACAAACTTCAGAGTTTGTCACCGATCATAGTGGAGGGCATCTTGCGAGTAAGGTGGCGATTGCGCCATTCGGGGCTATCATATGAAAGTCGGCATCCAATAATCCTCCCAAGTTCTTATATTTTTACAGAGCTAGTAATACGGTATTCGCATGCTTTGACTCTGCACGGAGGTGCGCAGCTGACCTTGTCCCACGCTCGCCAGCGGTTCTGGATACTGACAGGAAGACAAGCTGTACGAAGGGTGCTACGGAAGTGCGTGAGGTGCTTTCGCACCCGGCCATCCACCTCGACTCAGCTCATGGGAGACCTGCCGCTACACAGGGTCAACCCCCCTAACCGACCGTTCTTGGCGACAGGAGTTGACTACACAGGCGCTATAGAGCTGAAGGCAGCGCGCTTGAGAGGAACCAGCTTCTACAAGGGATACATCGCCGTGTTCATTTGTCTGGTGACGAAGGCTGTGCACTTGGAGGCGGTAACGGGTCTCACCACAGAGCATTTCTTGCTGGCTCTAGACCGGTTCATCGGGCGGCGAGGGATGGTTCAACATTTATACAGTGACAACGGAACTAACTTTATCGGCGCGGATAATCTAATGGAGGCATTATTCGGAAGGCTGCAGTAGGATTACGACAAGCTCATAGCCCCAAAGCTCGCTGCGCAGCGTGCCATTTTAATCCACCTCAATCGAACAACTTTGGCGGGCTGTGGGAGGCCAATGTGAAGTCGGTGAAGCACCACCTTAAGAGGGTCATTGCAAATCGACGGATCACCTATGAGGAGTTATATACGGTGCTCGTAAGCATAGAAGCATGCCTCAACTCGCGGCCGCTGTGCCCTCTCACAGCAGATGCAGACGATCTAGAGGTGCTCACGCCGGCTCATTTCCTAGTCGGAGACTCCATGTTGGCGCCTCCGAAGTATAGACCGCAGTCCAAGTCCTTCGCAGAGCAGTTTCTTATACAGCAGGCAATGATCCGCCATTTCTGGAAAGCTTGGAGTCGAGACTGGCTAGCTCATCTGCAGCAGAGGCCGAAGTGGTATCATGAGGCTGAAGGTTTGCAGCTGAACGACCTTGTCATCATCAAGGATGACCGATTTCCGTCGTCACAATGGCTGTGAGGACGGGTCGTCGAGTTACACCCAGGGACGGATGCGTTAGTCCGTGTGGTAACACTTAAAACCAAACAAGGCCAATTAAAACGGTCAGTGTCGAAGCTGTGTCCACTGCCAATCCGTTCTTAAGCGCTCTCACGTACACACCTCAATCATAATGAATTATTTCTTGCGCACACCGTTTGTCTCTTTTCTCCATTCTAGATTCTGCCCCGCCTACTACTCCCAGGATGGACTGGACACGCGGAGATGTCTCATGCTGTGTCTCGCATTGGCGGGCGGCATGTTCAGTTTTGCTGCGTGTCCCACTGTGCGGGAGAGTGACGGTCAGCCGATCGCTCGCTCGTCTCCGGACAGTGCATATGATGCGGGAAGAAGAGAATGGAAGAGAGGGGAAAAAGTAGTCTGATTTTGCAAACGCCGCTGAACGCACGCCGCCAGTCTAACGTCTTATCTATTGCGAATACACACCCATCTGTACATACATATATATCTAGTTTAAAGTAAATCTGAGAATAATAATCAGGCCTGTTCTAGTTTCCACTCGGAAGTGAATTTGATAACATTTGCGGATTTCCCTTTAACATAAGCGAATTTCCCTTGGTGATTTAAGGAATTTTTTTTTAATTTCCCTTAAATTCCCAAACAAAATTAGCTGGTCGCTTTCAACAAAAGAGATTCCCTTGTCTAAGATTTGCTAAAAGGGGCTGATCAAATTTTGGCCCGCTGTAGTCTCCAACTCATAGATAGTAATGAAGCACTAATTTAAATAATAAAATCTAAGGAATAAGCATTAAGACAGGAAATAAACATTTTGAAATATTTGTAATTGCAATCAGCTGTTCTGGTGGCAAAATGCTCGAAAGTAGAGTTGCCGAGGGTTTAGAAAAAATTCCCTTCGCATACAATTTAGTTCAGTTTGTGGATTGAATTGGCTGGTATTTTAAAGAAAAACACTTTTTCATATACTTTACCTAATAGCAGATATTTTAATTGTAAAACAACACAAAAGTAATTGTTCGAAATTAATCTTAAATATATGCCGTTTTTTTTTTGAAACGCTGACAACCCTTAAATGGTCCCTCTCAAATACGACACAGCGGCAGCGGATTTGCAATAATGTTGAAGGTTAGAATCGAACCGATTTTAAGGTGCACCCATAATAATTATTTATAAATCAAGTATGTTAGTATTAATTAATTAAATTATGCAATAATGTTCCCAAAACTTCAAGGAATAAAATACAATTAACATTTGTAATATACATAATCGCATTGTATTTTAAAATAATTAATTTCTGATTTTGCGGATTTGAATCCGCCGGCCAAATGGCACACGAAAAGTTTCCGTGCGTTTCGTCTGCAAATTAACAGAGACTTAACAGAGGGAAATACGAATCCGTAAAAATTTTTCGGAAGTGAACACTAGAACAGGTCAGGGAAATCCGAATCCGAATAAATTTTGCGGAAGTGGAAACTAGAACAGGCCTGAATAATTATAACGTCGGAAATTATCCCGACCTGTGTTTACTCTGGCCTGGGAACCCCTCCTACAATGACCTCTTGTTAGTTGCATACATACAAGGGGACACAACTATACAGCGACTAAGTCTCCAACTTTATAATCGACTTTTTGTTTTCGTTTCGCATTTTTTCTCCAACTTTCCCGATTCTTTTTTATAATTCTGCGATCCTCTATGTCCGACTTTTGGGACTCACATATCTTCATGTAGGCCAACTCCTGGCGGCGGGCGAAGATCTCATCGTGGGTCGACTTTTTCTGCAGCAGCTGGCGCTCCTTTTTAGCTAGTGACTTCTCCTTCTTGGTGCCATCAATCTGGGCTTTGCGCAACTCAAGCAGTTTGTGGTTGCTGGCCAGATCTGATTTTGCTTGCTCTTCGCAACGTCTCCGCCAAACACTATTGGGTTGTTCTAGCATCGCAGCGGGTCAGCTTCTTGATCACTGCCTCATAGCCAATGGTTCTTCTATTTCGATCCGTTGGCGGCTTCTTCAGCACCTTCTTCCGCATCTTGACTGGGACTTCTGCGACTGTATTCACGGCCTTGTAGTTTTTGATCAGCTGCGACACTTCTTTATCATACTGATTTGGCTTCTCACAAACCTTCTCCTCCAGCTGGGAAGAAAACTTGTATCCGTCGGCCGACAGCGAAAAGTTAAACTTCGATACGAAATCGAAACCCAGCATCGCATCATACTCCGCATCCTCCACTACAACAAAGTTGTGTATCGTTAACTCCTGATCTACTGCAACCTCAGCCAAAAAGTAGCCAACTGGGCACGTCATCCTCTTTCCAAGCCCACGCAGCTTCGACGCACATCTCCTCAACATGACATTGGGTATTCTTTCAAAGACATACTTGCGCAAAATAGTTACGTCGGCTCCCGTATCTACCAGACACTCCACTTCCAAGTCGTTGATGGTAACCTTTTTCATGCGATTTGTACTGCGTACAACTTGAACATCTGCAGTTTATTCAGGGCAATCCCTCGACATGTGGCTCTCCTCGTTACCTCTGAAGCATTTCACGGCAGCCTTGCAATCCTTGCGAAGATGATCTGCAGATCCACAATTGAAGCAGTAACTCTTCCTGTCATTGAACTCGTGCTGCTTCCTTTTGTTCGACGTCCT